CCTTGGGAAGGTCTTTTGTTCATAGACGACCTTGGGAAAGTCCTTTGTCTATAGAAGACCTTGAGAAGGTCTTCTGTCAAAAAAAGTTCTTGAGAAGATCTTTTGTCGATAGAAGAGCTTGAGAAGGTCTTTTGTCTATAGAGGACTTTAAGAGGGTCATATGTCTATAAAAGGCCTTGAGAGGGTTTTCTGTCTATAAAAGGTCTTGAAAGGGACTTAATAAATTTACAATTTTGCCTGGGATAAATTTACAATTTAATCACAGCAAGCCATTTTGTTTTTGTTGCTTATATTTTAGTCTTGTTTTTTACAATTAAAAACAAACAAAATTATATAAAAAACTTATAAAAAAAACTATTATTTATATATTTAAAAAAACGTGCAAATATTTACTAAAGAAGAAATTTTATTGAATTGGTTTTCTAGGAAAAAAAAAGATTTTAGTTTTTTTCTCATAATCTAATATTAATTTACAACTACAGTCAAACATGGCTACCGCAGACCAATTTTTTTTAACTTCAAAACAACAGCTGTAAGTATAAGACTAAGTAATTAAATTTAATTTATAAAATTATTTTTATTTAATAAGTTATTAAAATTGTTTATCGTAACCAGGTTTGACTGTATTTATGAAGTGATTTTTTTGCAAGTTGATAATGGCAAATGCTATTGTTTTTATTCTGCTTTATTTTTTGTTGTTTTGCAATTAATGCTAATGCCGATGCTAATGTTTGATGGTGGCGTTGATGATGAGCTCGGATGGGTGGTTGTCATGTTGATGCAAATGCTGTAGAAGAAGAATAAGAACTGGGAGGCTCGAGGTTCGTGGTCGATGTTTTCTCAATGGTAGGCTTCGTTGGCCATTTTCAATAATGTAATGAATATAGAATACAATGCATGGTAAAAGTATACACACAAACCAAAAAATCATACTTTTTTTCTGTGGTTGAATTAACACTAATCTGTCTGCCATTTCGTTTTTAATTGTTTTACTCTTTTTTTTTTTGAAGTTGCTTTGTTGAAGGTTATTGCTTTTGTGGTTATGGTGGATTTTTTTTGTTCACAATGATGGAATTGATATAGTAAATATTTGTATTGAAATAATTAGTAATGATTAACTAAAACGTGTTTATGATTAAATAAAAATTTAAATAAACAAAAAAAAAAAAAAAATAGAACTAAATATGAGAATAATATAGACAAATAATTGGTAATAATAAAATCGTTATTAGTGCATTTTAATGACTATTAAGGTCATAGCAGATGGCAAATTTATAATGGAAAATTAAATAATTTTGTAAAGCTTAAGGTCATAGAAAAACGACTGATCTGTTGACCAATAATACTACTATACTATGCAGGCTTTGACAAGGCCTCAGTGAATAGATCCGATGCCTTATTCCAAGCTCTAGCTTTGTGGTCTTGAAATAGGAGGAAGTCTCTTCAAAGAAAGAATTCAACTATATTTAGTAGAGATTATAAAGAAGTTAGATATGAGAAATCTACGAAAGGTCATCTGTGTCATAGACCATCTGTAAGGCTTCTATTAACAAACTGAAAAACCCAGTCATTTTTGACAGTCCTTGAGATAGGATACATTCTAAATTTCATTTACAGATAAACCCCTTTTATGTATATGAAGGATCTTTGATGAGTTCATTCAATCGGATAACTTCTGTAGATTCTTAATATAAAAAGTTTATATTGCAATGGGTGAAATACCATCCACAGGTATTATAAACGGAAGCATAAAGCTGTAGCCAGAGGTTTTACGTCCTAGAATAAATGGATGCTTTTAAGCTTCAACGAAAGAAAAGCTATCTCACAGAGATCTTACAATTGTAGTCACCATTTCCATTTTCTGTGTGTAGAATAAGTTTTTCATTTTTTAATGAAAATCGAGCGAAGGTCACCTATCTCTAGGTGTTATTTCTCAAGTTTTCTGTGAATTCAATTTTTTTAAAGTTTCTAGTTTATCTTCAATGGAAAATTATTCTTATAAAATCCATAATTTAATGTGCCTGATGAGGTCGACTCCTCATCACAAAGCGATGTAACTAACGAAAGAAAAAGAAAATGCCGCGAGTTGATCTTTCTCGTTCCGTGGCTGGAAGGGAACTCAATTTATTTACAACATATTCTTAACACTAAAGCTTACATATAATACATTAACACATGCATTTTATTTACTAATGCACGCTGTGCATTAACGCACACAATACGTTGCGGGAGAAAACGAAACGTACCTAATTTGTGATCGACTCTTTCTTATCTTCTATTTATGGCCGTGACATTTATTACATTATTTATTACCGACCATAAACCTAGCATTTGGAAAACACATGCATCTTAAGTGTTTTCTTTATTTAACTAATTTACATTCTTCGGAAAAGACAAATAAAAATGAGATAAGAATTTAAAGAAGAACATTCAACACACAAACTATTTTTACAACATGTACAGTTTCTACAAAACTAAACAGTGCCCTTCCTTTGAAACCATTCACAGTTTTTTTAGATGGAAGCCCATATATGGGAGGGCCATTCAACTTATTCTACATGAATTATATTTCACACAGATCTTCCCATTAATTTTCTCTTCTTTTCTGCAGAAAAAATATTTCTCCATGAGCTTTTTGGTAGAACTCTTTGAAGGCTTAAGGCTTTTATAGATAGAAGACTCTTTTGAAAATATTTTTTAAATATTCTTAATTATAATTCTAACCTGGAAAAATGTAAGTTAATTATATTATGATTATATGTGCTCTTGAACAAAGGTCCTTAAAACCTCTCAGTGATTTTATAGATGGAAGCCAGAGATATTTTATAGTTACGAGAGGTTTCACAAAAAGGTATGAAGGTTCTTCTACAGAATAGGTACCCTCCAGAGGATAAGAGGTCTATTGAGCTTCCTATATGAAAGGAATCTTCTAGTTGCAGGAACCACTTTCTAAGAGCCTTTTTATATTTTCTGCATATAGAACAGATTCTTTAGGAACTTTTTTAGTGTGCTTCTTCATTCGCATGTATTTTGTTATGGATGTTATTCTTTCTCAAAGGCTTCTATGGACTGAAACCGTTTTATGGAAATATTCTTTAAAAAATCTTATTGTCCTTGAAAAATTCACGATTCTGGCTCATAAGTGTCTGCAAAAATATTTACTGAACACGGCCGATGGCTGGTCCGACAATTCTTAAAAAATCACGACTGTAAAAATAAGCATAAAAAATGTAAAGAAAAAAATCGACGATACTCCTTGAAAAAATATTCATAAAAAATCTATGAATTGGTTAGAATGTGGCACGGAGGTCTTCGAGACATCGAAAATCAGAAAGTACCGTTATATGAAACCTACACCTAATTGTGGACCCATATATTCCTTTTTCAATATCAAACATATAAGGAATAATATAAACCAGGGAAGCACAGAGAAAAGGCATCCAATCCATTTTAGGAATATGAGTTGGGACCCGAATAGCAAGAAATTAACGTTTCCTTGCAAAATATATAAACAATGACAGGAAAGAAGCCATTTCCAAATACCTTAAACTGCTTGAATCCATGCTACAAACATTTATTCCAGATTTATCTGGAACATTGTAATATACAGGGTGAGATGAAAAAACTGAAACCAATTTCAGACTGCAGTCATTTCTAAGCCACTCGTCCGACAGCTGTTAAAATTATTCCAGTGACAGCTAATTATATTGTTTACAAGCGTACAAAAGCATTTTGGTGAGAATTTTCCAGAAAAAAAGTTATTCGTGATGGAATTCAAGCGTGATAGTATGATTTCTTTATATTTGGCTGAAGAACCACAATCACTCTAGCATTTAAATGTGAATAAAGGTTTTGTGTCTCGTACCATCGCTCGTTACGGTGATATGATGATACTGGTAGCGTAGCCCGATGTCCCGGAAGTGGACGGAAGAAAGCAGCAACATCAGCAGGAATGGTTCGAAAAGTAAAGAAGCGACTTGATCGAAACCCGCGTCGCAGGGGCCGAAAAATGGCCCGTAAGCTGAACATATCGCAATATTCCATTCGGTAAATATGATAAGAATGGTTACAAAATGAGGTTGCTCGCTTCATTTCCAGCGCACAATGTTCACCAAAATCTCCGTTGAACTATTGTGTCTGGAGTATTTTGGAAAGCAAGGTTGGCACTAAAAAATACCAAAGTGTCGATCACCTCAAGCAAGCGCTTCGCCGGGAATAGGCCAAAATACCACGGAGCAACATTCGGGCAGCGTGTGACGGTTTCATTGGCCGTCTGAAGACCATAATTCGTGCCAAAGGTGATCAATTCGAACAAATCTAAACTTATTCTAAAATTTGATGCTATTTCCGACATTTTTTGCTTTCATTCAATAAAATTTAAAAAAATGTAAAATTTATGGCGTTTGACTTTGTTGCAGTTTTTTCATCTCACCAAGTGTATACATTAAACAAATATAAATTTGTAGTTTAATGTATACGTACTTAATTAATTTGTAAATAGAGAATTTTATAATCATTAAAATTATTTATACATAATTGGTTTTAAGTTTAGAATACCATATGTCTATATAAATATTTTTTCTTTATAAGGTCCTTCAAATTTTTTAGATATTAAATACATGTTTTGAAAATTTAATCATATATCGTATAAAATATTACCTCTTAATTGTTAACGTATTTTTGCACATAATAACGATTTTAGTTTTTAACAATGGTTTAAACTAAAAAAGAGTTAACAAAATTAAAAAATGAATATAAGGATTAGATTAAAAAAATATGGCAACACATTTTAAAATATTTAGTTATATACAAACTTAAATATGAAATATACACAAGAATAGAAAAGCTTACACAAACCAAAAATTAATAAATAAAAAAAGGTTAACATTGCAATAACAAAAACCCAATCCAAATTAACACACACAAACACAAATATAAATTAACAGAAATTATATAAAAATAATAAAAGAAAAAAAAAAACACAAAATAATAATTCTTACCATCATTACTCAGGGCATTCGCAGAGGAGGAGGAGGAAGAAGAAGAAGCATTTTGCAATTGCTGGGTCATACTATCAATACCGAGTTTGCGCATACCATTTTTAATCTCTTCCAAATCTTCACTATCCACGGTTGTTTGAAAGGTATCGGAAACGAATTCCGATTCCGAGGTCGATTCTAAACGTTTCATGGCCCTTTGCGGCTCTTGGGTTATGGAAACGAAAGAATTTTCGGATTTTGTGGCATCATTTTTAGAAGATGGAGCAGAAGAAGCAGTGGAAGATGATGATGCTGTTTGTTTGGAATTTAATTTTGAGCCATCACCGGCAGTTGCGGTGGTGGTTTCTTGAGATTTTGAAACTTTGACTAATTTTATTTCGTTTTTTTATTTGGTTTTTCATTATTTATTGTTGGTTGATTTATTTGATTTTGGGGTTTTTTTTTCCGGGATTCCATGTCAAATTTTGGTTTCAATTTTTTTTTAGATTTTTATTTTAATTTGTTTATTTTTTTTATTGACAATTTGTTTGTATAATGTAGTGGTGGTGTTGTTGGTAGTGTTCGATTTGTTCGTGGAGTCGTGTAGTTTTGAATTTTCAGTTCAAATTTTCAATCCAAATAAAAATCAAAAAGTAAATCCAAATCAAGAAAAAATATGAAAATAAAAAAAGAAATTAAAAATAAATAATTATTAAAAAAATAAAAATTTTAAATAAAATAAATAAATTACAAAAATTGTGCATAGTTTGTTGTTGGTATTTTTTCATATTTTTTTAAATAAAAACTCAAAACTTAGCCGTCTAGTTTGGGAAAGAGAAAAACGAAAAAAAGAAACAAATCAAAGGTGGGGAAAATGATTACAAACAACTTAAAGAGAAAGATCATTAGAAAGAGAGCAGAACAGAAAAAAACGTTACAGATTCATATGAGAACGTTGGAAGAGGCATTTCTCTTTTAGTTATTTTTTCTTGTTGTTTGCTCACAAATCAGTGTTATTTCAGAGTCTAAGCTTGAGTTACTTTTTTTTTGCAAAACTTAGACAGACAGTTATAGTATAAATCAAAACAAAGTTTAAGAGAGCGAGAGAGAGAGAGACAGAGGAGAAGTAATAATAGTCATAAGAGCATGTGTGCATTAATTGAATTTTACAGTGCACTCGCATTAGAATGAACCAAAATCATAATGCTAAAATTTATTTAAACTAAAACTGTCTGAGAGAGACATATTAACAGACGGAGAGAGAGATTAAAAAAAACTTAAAATGGAATGTACAAAAAGAGTAAAACTATAAGCTTTCTTTTCAAAAATACTGTGAGAGTAAAAAATGTTTTCGATATTCTTTTTTTTCTTTTCTTTTGTTAAGTTTGAAATTGTGTGTGTGATAATATATTGAGAGGTAGACAGAGAGGTAGATAGATAGTGATATTTGAAAACTGAGAGAGTGTGTAGAGTTTCATTTTTTTTTGTAAATATATTTTTTCTTTATTGAGAGAAGTTATAAAACGTTATCAGGGTTGGTTTTTGTTTTTTGCTTGAATTCGAATTTTTTAAAATTTGTTTTTATTAGCTGCAGTTAAAATAGCGTATTTTTTGAAAATTAAATTATTAAAACAAAGAAAGCTGAAAGGCTGGTAATTAAATAATAAAGAGAAAACTTTAAAATAAAATACCAAAAACAGAAGGAAATATACAAAATCAAGGAGGAAGAAAATTCTCAATGGATATAAGAATACAATTTTGTAATAAGAAGGATCGAAGCTAAAAATATATTAGTCGGGTTTTTACTTATAAATCTTATTACTAATTAAAGTATGCCTCTTTGAGATATGACTATAGAAGGCTCCAATGGTTGCAGGAACGTATACACAAATGTATTTCGAAACCATTTGGGCTGGTCCAATTATTGTTTTTCATATAAAATTCATAAACAAATCACATAAAGCCCGGGGCCCTCTTGCCAGGTTGTAAAAAATTTAAATCAAAACACCAACAATAGAAGTTTCCTGCATTTTAAGAAGAGCTATACAAAAATATCACTTTCAAATTGGTCTTATGTATGGAGAATACATAGAAATAGGTCTTCAACAGATTGGCCTATGAAAGGGTCTTATATAAGACACTTCAAGAGGGCTTCTAAAGATAGCAGGTCTTTAAAATTAAGAAAAAAAAAAAAAATACATGGATCGGTTATAGGTAGACGATGTTAAAGGTATGCTATTTGTAGACGATTTGTGGATACCTTCGATAGACAGAAGGCTTTTTAGAGAGCTTTCGGACAAAATACTCTTACAGAGGTTTTTTTTTATAGAAAAAAGGTCATTAAGAACTTAAAGGGCTTCTTAAAATTATAGAAATAAAGGCTATAGGGCACCCACCACCCACACCATACACCCAAGGAAGCGAACATTTTAACTTTAGATAACTAGTCGGGTGGCATTTGGAAAAAGTTTCTGTCTTTGGAAGACTTTCAAACGGTTTTTTTTTATCTACAGGAGAAAACGGTTAGAGGAGTGAAGATCTTATTCCCGAAGAGGTTCGTTAGAATAGCTAAAGCCAATTAAAAACTTTTGGAACATCTATATGGATATAAAAGTCCTTTATAAAGTTTTTCCTTCGACCATTAAACGGTCCCCAGAAAACTTTTAGTGCTGGGTCTAGTCTTTCACCAAGAATAGGTCTAAATACTGAAGACCTGAATAAGACCTTCTTTCTATCTAAGACCTGTGGAAGTATTTTATATAAAGAAGATCTTTTGAAGTGGGAAGGCTATCCGCCTCCATATGTCCCGTAAAAAGCCTTCTGCTTTAAAGAAACTTAGAGAAGATCTGCAACAAACGTTTGGCTTGGCCTACCCTACGGAAAAAAGCTTTTTGAAGTTCCTCTGTAAATATACGACTTTTAGAGTACATTCTAATTTCGCTGCTTATAGGTGACCTGTGGAAGCTTTTTGTATAAAGGAGATATTTTGAAGTCAGAAGGCCTTCTGCCTTAAAATGATCCGGGGATAGTCTTTTGCTTAAAAAACTAACTTTAAAATGTCTTTAAATTTCGCCTGACAATGGAAAAATATCTTCAAAAGACCATAGAGAAGACTTGTGGAAATGTTTTGCCTATAGAACATCTGGAGAAGATCTCCTGCTTCTAGAAGATCTGAAACAACCGTATGACTTAAAGACCTTCTGTTTATAGAAGACCTGCAAAAGGCCTTCTGCCCATATAAAATACCTGCAGAAGTTGCTCAGCCAATAGAAGACCTTAAAAATAATTTTAACTTTACAAAATCTGTGCAAGGTTTACTGTCTATAAATGACCTGTTTATGGCCTGGGTACATTAAATAACTTTAAAACGTCTTTAAATTTGGTCTGCCTATAGGAAATTCGGACTGCGTCTTCTGTTTGTAAAAGTGCATTTGAAGGTCATACACATTAGAAGTTCCTCTACATAGGTTTCTTCCCATTTACCCCTGCGTACCAGCAAGGTGGCTCTTTGTAAACTAATAGGTCTCACTAGGGGAAAGGAAAGGTTTTTTCCTCCTGGAGACCCAGAAAGATAAAGTTTTGTAGCTTAATATGGCTGATAGATGTCCACCTCCTACAGTCTTAAAATTCGTCTGCCAATAAAAAATTTTACAGGGTCTTATTTTTATAAAAATGAATTCGAAGGTCCTTTGCATAGACCTCAGCGGATTTACTTTCATATTTTAAAGTCCACTGTCCATAGATTATTCAGGGCCAGAATTCAAAGCTGTGCAACCATCCAAATCCAAACATTGTAATAACTTCACTCCTGGTGTTCGAGGAAAATTCTCTTCTAGATGATAAATGTTCTAATACTACTCCTAAGGTCGCTCATCATGGAATTGGATTTATCTCTTCGGTTCGTCCGAAATTATTCGCCACAATACAGCGCAGATATTCTAGTGTCATTCAATTGGACTACGACAGTTTGTCGCTGCATGTACCGCTTAGGACATGTTGTAGACTAACAGTCCACCATATAAAATCAATCAATTCATTCTGTAGAACAATCCCTACCTAGGGAAAGACAAACACTTTTTTCTCTTAAAAACGTATACTGCAGTTGAAAGCCTTTCTGAAGATAGGCGTATTTCTTCTAAACGTGTTGGGATACAATTAAAAATTCCTTTGCATTGACAGTATTGTACTACACCTATTAAATATTGTGTAATAAAAACATATTGTGGAGTATACTTTAAGGCGCAGGAAAATAATGTGAAAAAATGCAGCGTTGGTTTTTTTCTGAAGGATTTTCGTTTACACTTTGAGGCTCCATTGAAGAGGCTATTAACTTCTAACAGTATGCTACATATAAAAGGCCATTCTGAAGGTCTTATATGCGGTTTTCACTAAACGCATTGGGTGAACAAATAATAAGTTCATTTTCATTGACAGTATTGTAATACCCCTATGCAAATGCTAATTGTGCAGCATACTTTTAGGCGTGTGAAAACAATATGATAAATGAATGCTCCGGTGGATTTTTTCTGAAGGATTTCTCCTTATCTGTTGACGTTACACTGAAGGGTCCATTTGCTTAAATTAAATTTCATATCTTGTATTTTTATTCCATTGAGAAATTTTTTATATTTTACAAATAACCTATAAATATATATTTACAACGAAAAACCAAAGATGAATAATAACGTTTAAAATAACTATAATTTAAAATAAAACTAAAATATTTCATGATGAGAATAGAGAGAGAAAGATTACGGAAATAAATATTGAAAACCAAAAACGAACTCAAAACGAAAATTAGAAAACGAAACTTAGGGTATTTTTTTCTGGTAGAGATTTTGATAGATTGACTGAGAGATAGTCGAGATAGAGAGATAGACAGAGAGCGAGAGATAGAGTAGGACGAAACTAGACGAGAGAATAAGAACTAATTGGCACTTACCATCTTCACCACTTGAGGCTTGTGCAACGCCATCTTCACCGAGAGTACCCAATTCGGCGGCCTGGATAATGAGCGAGACGCGATAGAAGTAATTTCTCCAGAAATTCTCTTCGGTGATGCTGAAAGAGGTGGGGATAAGGAATTAACTATTTTGTTGATATATTTATCCACGATGCCTACTCACATTTTGGGTACCAATTCAAAACGCATTGTTTCCAGGTTCTTATCCTCTTCCATAATGGCCTGGGCGGTAGGATAGGCGGTATCATAGTTGAACTCAAAATCAATACCAGCCGGTGGTGCACGTACAAAGTTACGTCTATCCTGGGACAGACCCATGATTTCTTCCTTGATCTTGGCCTCATTGGTTAGGCCAACCCAGGGGGCAACAGCTGGACCATTACCGCCAGCCTGGCCTTTAATAAAGGCTTCTTGTTCTTTGTTAAACGACTCCATAATGGGCTTTACAATTTAAATCAGGGAAATCAGGGGGGAAGGGAGCGAAAGTAGACAAATTTTTATTAGTAAAACAAATAATGCTAAGGCGTCCTGAGAATTTTGGAAAATACTTACATTCTTCTTGACAGTTTCTTTTAGCTTTGAACCGGCCTCAGTGAAAGCTGATGACAGGAATGAGCCAAAATGTTTGGCCTGTTGGGTTACCTTTGTGGTAACTGTTGTGTGGCGAAATATGAAAAAAATTGAAAGATACAGATACGATATTGGATTAAAAAAATTCCAAATGGTGCATGGGTTTTGTTAGGGGTTTGGTTTTGAAACTACTAGACTACTAGACAATGAGGTTCAAATTCGAGAATGTTTTGAAAAAATATGCTGGATAAACGCATTTCAATTTTTAAGCTACTGGTTGAAAGGTTGATCTGATCTGAAAGTTGGGGTTTTGTAGTTTTTTTGTTAGGTGGTATTGTCGGGGAAAAGGGGGAAGAAAAGTGATAAAACAAAGAGACTTTGAAGGCAGGACAGAGTGAGCTGTCAGAGGAAAGGGGACTTCCAAAACTATCCCCTGCGGAAGGCATTCTGAAGATTTTCTATGAAGAGAAGATCTTTTGAAGCTCTTCTATGAAGAGAAGATCTTCTGAAAGTCTTCTATGGAGAGAAGATCTTCTGAAGCTCATCTATGAAGAGAAGATCTTCTTAAGCTCATCTATGAAGAGAAGATCTTCTGAAGCTCATCTATGAAGAGAAGATCTTCTGAAGTTCTTCTATGAAGAGAAGATCTTCTGAAGCTCTTCTATGAAGGGAAGATCTTCTGAAGCGTTTCTATAAAGAGAAGATCTTTAAAAGCTCTTCTCTGAAAAGAAGATCTTCTGAAGCTCTTCTATGAGGAGATGATCTTCTGAAGCTCTTCTATGAGGAGAATATCTTCTGAAGCTCTTCTACGAAGAGAAAATCTTCTGAATCTCTTCTATGAACAGAAGATCTTCCGCAGCTCTTGTATGAAGAGGAGATCTACCCAAGCTCTTCTATAGAAGTCTTCCTTCTATAGAAGAGCTTTTTGAGATCTTCTATGAATATAAGACCTCCTTGAACTTTTCTATGGCCTAGAAGACCTCTTTGAGCTCTTCTGTGGCATAGAAGATCTCCTTGAGCTCTTCTATGGCATAGAAGATCTCCTTAAGCTCTTCTATGGCATAGAAGACCTCCTTAAGCTCTTCTATGAGTAGAAGACCTCCTTAAGCTCTTCTATGAGTAGAAGACCTTCTTGAGCTTTTCTATGGCATAGAAGACCTCCTTGAGCTCCTTGAGAAGACCTCATTGAGCTCTTCTATGGCATAGAAGATCTCCTTGAACTCGTCTACGGCATAGAAGATCTCCTTGAACTCTTCTATGACATAGAAGATCTCCTTGAACTCTTCTATGGCATAGCAGATCTCCTTCATCTCTTTTATGGCATAGAAGACCTCCTTGAGACTTATTTTATGAATAGAAGACCTCCTTGAGACCTCTTCCATGATTAGAAGACCTCCTTGAGACCTCTTCTATGAATAGAAGACCTGCTTGAGACCTCTTCTATGAATAGAAGATCTCCTTGAGACCTCTTCTATGAATAGAAGACCTCCTTGATCTCTTCTATGAATAGAAGATCTCCTTGAGACCTCTTCTATGAATAGAAGATCTCAATGAGCTCTTCTGTGAATAGAAGACCTCCTTGAAGCTCTTTTATGAAAATAAGACCTTCTGAGGCTCTTCTCTGAATAGAAGACCTCCTTGAGCTCTTCTATGCAGAGAATACTTCCTTGAGCTCTTTTATGAATAGAAGTCCTCAATGAGCTCTTCTGTGAATAGAAGACCTCCTTGAGCTTTTCCTCGTACTGACTGAGTACTCCTATTTCTTATAAGGAAAGAAGCCCTTCTCTAAAGCTCTTTGTAATAGGAAACATTCTGAATCATAAAATTTCCGACGCTGATCTTGTCATGGCTCCAAATTCTCTTTACCGGAAAGTGCTAAAATTTTGTCTATTAATGGAAAATTTTGTAGGGTGGTGTTGGGGACAATATTTAGTTTTCTTTATGAAATATGTTATGAGTGCTAATAGAGAACGAGAGAGAGAGTGGAAGAAAATCTAAGAGGTAGGGGAACTTGTTGTTATTTTTTGGTTTTGTTGTTAGTAAGTAACCTGTCACTTGTTATTCTCTTATTAAGAGATTCTTTTTTGAAAAATTTGTTCTCGATTTAACCTTTCACATTATTTTTTCCAATAAAAATAATTTTTGTTGTTAGTATTTTTTTTGCAATAATCATAAAATGTTACCAATTTTGTTTGATTTTGGAATTGTGACACGTACTTTTCACGTCTTCGGCCTTACCCTGTCCAATCTGACCATCTTCGCCCAGTTGAGCCTCGTCGCCAGATGCTGCCAATGAATCAGCTCCCTCTGTGGCACTGTAAGGATACCAAAAAGAGGACACGAAATGGAAAAGAGAAAATTGCGGAAAATTCAATATTAGTTGGGAAGTTTTAGGCATGGGTGGTTATACATAGTTTTAGATCATAAGCAAAATAATTAAATTAAAAAAAAAATATTTGTTTTCAAATTTTACACATTTAGAATAAGTGAATAAAAAAACATCATGCAAGAACAAAAGCAAGAATATTTAAAAATTAATAAACAACCATTTTTATATAAAAATTGTATTCAAATATTTAATTGAAACATGCAAAAATATTAATAAAAATTAATTCATACAAAAGTATTTTTTATATTTGAAACCTTCGAACGTTCCAGTGGCAATTCTATCCCTAAATATCTGACATTACAGCTACCGAAAAATATATATATTTTTTATTCCATTTAATCATTCCTCTTGGATTCCGCCCATAAAACTTTATGCGACACCATAAAATGGGATTATAATTTTGTAACCGAAATAAAAACGATGCAAGTAATGGCTGGTTGGCTGAATATCTGGCTGGTGCTTTTGTTGTTATTTTTTAACGACATTTGAATCCTTGGAAAGCCATGAAACCCCCAGAAATAAAATTAAGAAAAATATTTCAAAACCACCAACCAGCCAGCCAGCCAACCAAGCATTATGGCCCAAATGTGAAATGGCCAATGGATGATGATGATAATGATGGTGGTTATGCGTCGTTGAATGGTGGGTGGGTGGCTACAGGAGGACACAAAATCATATTTTATGCTCAATGAAAAATTATCTAATGACAGGGTTTTGCGAAGGCAAAATACAAAATGCGTAGTTTTATGGGACCTAATGCCACAGTAGCCGGGGTATGGGGCGGAAAATGATGGAAATGAAAAGAAAATCCTTGTCCTGCCCTCAGCAGTTAAGCTATGCTCAGTTAAATCTATCAACAATAGAGCTAGATAAAATGCTTTATAAGCCAATAAAATTATAAGTTCATTTTCGCAAGTAAATGATAAAAATAGCCTACAGCGACAAGGGCATTATTAAGTTAATATTTCATAAATATGGAAATTATGGGGCCAGGAAAATGGAGAGAAGAGAAGACCAGCAAAAGTCTATTTGAAGTCCATCATAAAAGTGCTCAATGAGGTCTTATAGCCAAAGAAGATCCCAAAGATGTATTCTAGCCGTAGAAGAGCTCGAGGAGGCCTTCTAACCATAGAAGAGCTCGAGGAGGTCTTCTAGCCATGAAAAATCTCATGGAGGCCTTCTAGTCATAGAAAAGCTCAAGGAGGTCTCCCAGCCATAGAAGAGCTCAAGGAGATCTTCTAGCCATAGAAGAGCTCAAGGAGGTCTTCTAGCCATAGAAGAGCTCAAGGAGGTTTTCTATGCCAAAGAAGAGCTCAAGGAGGTCTTCTAGCCATAGAAGAGCTCAAGGAGGTCTTCTAGCCATAGAAGAGCTCAAGGAGGTCTTCTAGCCATAGAAGAGCTCAAGGAGGTCTTCTAGCCATAGAAGAGCTCAAGGAGGTCTTCTATTCATAGAAGAGCTCAAGGAGGTCTTCTATTCATAGAAGAACTTAAGGAGGTCTTCTAGCCATAGAGAAGCTCACGGAGGTCTTCTAGTCATAGAAGAGGTCTTCTAGTCAGAGAAGAGCTCAAGGAGGTATTCTAGCTATAGAAATGCTCAAGGAGGTCTTCTAGCCATAGAAGAGCTCTAGCAGGTATTCTAGCCATAGAAGAGCTCAAGGAGGTCTTCTAGCCATAGAAGAGCTCAAGGAGGTGTTCTAGCCATAGAAGAGCTCAAGGAGGTCTTTTAGCCATAGAAGAGCTCAAGGAGGTCTTTTAGCCATAGAAGAGCTCAAGGAGGTGTTCTAGCCATAGAAGAGCTCAAGGGGGTGTTCTAGTCATAGAAGAGCTTCTCTTCATAGAAGAACTTCAGAAGGTCTTCTCTTCATATAAGAACTTCAGAAGGTCTTCTCTTCATATAAGAGCTTCAGAAGGGGTTCTCTTCATAGCAGAGCTTCAGAAGATCTTATCTTCATAGCAGATCTTATCTTCTTCTTTTCATAGAAGAGCTTCAGAAGGTCTTCTAGTCATAGAAGAGCTTCAGAAGGTCTTCTAGTCATAGAAGAGCTTCAGAAGGTCTTCTAGTCATAGAAGAGCTTCAGACGATCTTCTCTTCATAGAAGAGCTTCAGACGATCTTCTCTTCATAGAAGAGCTTCAGAAGGTCTTCTCTTCATAGAAGAGCTTTGAGGTATTTTTCATAGAAGAGCTTCAGAAGGTCTTCTTTTCATAGAAGAGCTTCAGAAGGTCTTCTTTTCATAGAAGAGCTTCAGAAGGTCTTCTTTTCATAGAAGGGCTTCTGAAGGTTTTCTTTTCATAGAAGGGCTTCACAGAAGATCTTCTCGACATAGAGGAGCTTCTGAAGGTCTTCTCGGCATAGACGATCTTCTGAAGGTCTTCTGTTCATAGAAGAGCTTCCGAATGTCTTCTAGAGCTTCAGAAGATCTTCAGAAGGTCTTCTTTTCATAGAAAAGCTTAAGAAAGTCTAATTTTCATAAATGAGTTTCAGAAGATCTACTCGGCATAGAAGAGCTTCCGAAGGCCTTCTCGACATAGAAGAACTTCCGAAGGCAGTATCCGAAGGTCTTCTCGAAATGTAAGAGATTCCGACCTTCAAAATGTCATCTATATTTGGAAAAACTCAGGAAATTTGTTTTTCCTAATAACGCTATAGAATATATTTTTTGTATATAGGACCTTTGAATTGTGTTCGATTTATACTAAAATGGAAACCTAAGGCCTAACTGAACCTTGAAATTTTGCCTGAACATATTCACACACATATACAAATATACACTTTGTATAGTTATTATCGTACATACATACATATATACAAAACATTTATTTTTTATTTATGTTATTTACAATGAAAACTTATGAGAAGAAGACGTTAAAAAGAAACAGCGAAATAGGTGAAAAGAAAGATGAAAAAACACAAATCGATGACACAATCACCAAAAAAAAAATGTAAAGAAAAACATTCGACTTATTTTTCGCTGATTCGAATTTTGTTTTCGTGTGAAATGAAAGAAAATGAAAATTAAGAGGAAATTCCACACTTCATGGAAGATGATTTTAACCTTTGACTGAAAAAAAGGTCAAATGAACGAAGAAGAATGCATGGAGCAAAAATCTAAACCTGGTAAAAAGGAGAACGAAAAATGGAGGATAAGAAAGTAAATGAATGGACTCTAGATGACACTATGCAGGGAGGGTAGCCAGGCATTCATTGAAATGCATAAATCTCATGGTGGAAAGGGAAGGGCTGGGAGAATGTTATGAAATTCTGAGAATAATTTTCAATTATGAAATTATGGTATAACGACCAAAAAAGAGAGGTAGCGAAAAGGGATAGGACGGACGGGCAACAATCATGGCATTCTTTGATAAAACAAAAGACAATGAAAATCATAAAAAATAAAATAAAACAAATAAAAAAGATTTATGAATAAACAATTGAAGAGAATAATAACAGAAAACAAAACTCTACAACTTAAGGGAACATTATCTTTCTCTCCGCTTAGGGAGAGAAACTATTACAACAAAAAACCAAAGAAAAAGGAGAAACTACTACTAAATACAACAATTATGAGGGGAGTTAATGTCCCGCCATTTACGATGATCTACAATCCTTTGCAATATTCTTTGCTTGAAATTATTTTGTAGTAGTAGTTGTTGTTGTTGATTTTTGATGATGGGCCGCAACTATTTAATGATGGACTTTGATATTTTTCTAATGGAAATACGGTAAAAAAGGTAAATATATATGTGTATGTTGTGATGTTTGCTTTTTTCCGGTTATGAGGGGGGAAAGTGAAAGAAAAAGTAATGAATAAAAAAATAAAAACAAAAATTCCAAAAAAAAAATCTATTGATTTCAAAGCAAAAATGATTTTAAAAGAAAGAATTTTAAAAAAATATTTTTTTTTAAATGTATCTTTCACAAAATGCGTTTATTTTCAGATTTTCGTAATATCTGGCTTATAAGAAAAGGGCGAAAAATCAGGGTTTTGAAGTCTTAGACTCCATTAGATAATTTCTGAGATAGCATGTCTTTATCCAAATCGACCAGTGAATCATTTTGTAGAACATTCCCTTAATGTCCTTGCCATGTCACTGTTTCAATAAAACAGCTTTCTATACTGTTTCTTAATGTGGCGCCCAATGATTTCACGTAGTTGAAGAGGTAAAGACTGGTGAACATATCAAATATAAAATGACTTTATTCACATTTATCTGACATTATTATAGCATACTTTTAGGAGCTCGCACAAAGTTTAAAACTAAAAGGAACAAGTAAAAAAACTGTAAATTTGGCCGGGCCGAAGTTTGAATACCCTCCACCATTTGGACCGAATTTGGCAATTCTCAAAACAATAAAATCCGTTAAAAATTCTGTTAAAATCTTAAAAATACCGAATGTAGCTGTTATATCAGGGTCATAAGCTATTACAATATTCAAATGCGAAACTTAAAAAAATCGGTAATAATGTAGCTAAAAGCATCAAAGTACCGAATATCTGGAGCTACCGTAATATGGGGACCTGCACAGATAATTTTCTGTCTTAGGCTATAGTATCCATTACGAACTTCAAATACCATGTTTGAAACAATTCCCGTGAGAAATGTCGCTAAAATCATTTAAATACCGAATATCGGGAGGTACCGTTATATATACGAAGATGTGGACCTGCACGGACAATTTTCTGTCTTAGGATGTAGAATCCATTACGAACTTCAAATACCAAATTGGAAACAATTCTGATGAATAATGTCACAAAAAAAGCATCAAAATAGGGAATATCGGGAGGTACCGTTATATGCCAATACCAAAAGTCCTGCAGACATAACATACATTTGAGTAAAATTTTATCAATATACTTCAATTCGTTCGGAAGCTAGAGTGATTCCCACAGACAGACAAATGGATAGACGGACGGACATAGCTAAATCGACATAGAATTTTATGCTGATCAAGAATATATCTACTTTGTGGGGTCTAAAATGTCTATTTCGAGGAGTTACAAATAGACAAACTTAATATACCCTCCATACTATGGTGGAGGATATAAAAACTGTATGGTATAGTATAAATTAACACATTCTACATTTTTTTTAAATATACAAATTTATCAGAAGCGCTTAAAATAATTGCAGTATACAGGTTATAGCGGTTCCTTGAAGTTTCCCTCAGGAGCTCTTAAAATATGCCATAGAAATGCTAAAAATATTGAAAAAGTCGTCTTACATTAGACTAATACGAAGTGAAACTGGCCGCAAGGTGTGCAATCACGAGAAAAAAAAAACTAATAAAATTCTCAACCAAAATTGGCTTTTGAAAGATACATTTTAAGGTGGAGAAAAAAAATTAAAAATGACTCAAAAATATTTGGAATGAAACGTAAAGGCATGGTATGTGATCACCTCTCTTATCCTGGGATTTTATGAATTATTTTCTTATACTTCAAACTTACCTTAAATCGAAAGCAAATGAAAATATTTCATAAAATCCAAACTGTAATTACTCGGTACTATAAATATTAACTCTGTACAAAACTGTTATATTTTTTTCATAAATATTGTTTAAACATTATTTAAAAATTTAATTAAGCAAGAAAACGATTGTGGAATTACTTTAACTGTAATAAAATAGAATTATATAATTTCTTTAAGTGTAACTGTATAATTATTAAAATTTTAAAGTTGAAAAAAACTCAACAAAGCTTTAGATAAAATATAAAAAATTGCTCAAAGATTTACAGTGGAAGCTTGAAATAAAATATTTTTGAAAAAAAAAAAACGGAAATATTGAAAAAATTCAATCGAAAATCAACAACAAGGTGCAATAATACAGATCTCATTAAAAGGAAATTTGGAGATTATTCCTGATTGCCTAAAATGAGTATTTCCTCGTCAGATATAATGACCCCTCTTCAGGTCGATTATCAAAACTCACTTCCGGTTTTGTATAAAAATCTTCAGTAGGCTTTTAAGACTCCCTTCTGTGTGATTACAGAGACTTCCGTTTGATTGTCTATTAACAGTCCTGATTTGTTCTTTGCTCCCTTTGGAGTCTTAGTAGAAGCCCAAAAGGAAGTGTTTTTAAACGCCCAGGAATGGCGACCAAAAGATCTCCATAGGCAACCACATAGTGGTCTCTTTATATTTTAAAAAGGAAGTCTTTATAGAAGCTCAGAAAGAGTTCTTCAAAGAAACCCAGAAGATCGGCCTTCAGGGCATCTATAAAGATGGCATTAAGCGTGCCTATAAAGGCGGTTTTCTTGGAATTCTTTGAAGACCTCCTTTTGAGCATCTATGAAGACTTCCTCCCAAACATATAAAGAGACCAGTATATTGTTCTCTATAGAGACCTTTTGGTCGCCTATGCAGACCCACTTCTGGGTGTTCAAAACAAAAACCATTTGGGCTTCGACCAGGAATACTTTCTGGAAATATATAGAGCTTCTTTCACAAGGAATTTAGAGCCCCCTACTGGACGTATTTAGAGACCCCTACTGAGCGTATATGGTGCCCCTTACTGGTCGTCTTTGGCCAAACCCTTCTCATAATCTATTTATGTATAGTTGTCTCTTTATATGTTTAGAAGAATTCTTCATAGATGCTCAGAAAGAGGTCTTCAAAAAAATTTAGAAAATCGGCCTTCAGGACGTCTATTAAGATAGTCTTCAGCGCGTCTATAAAGACTTGGTATTCTTTCTCTATGGAGACCTTTTGGTCGCTTATGCAGACCCTCTTTTGGGCGTTTAAAAGACCTTCCTTTATATAGAGACACTCCTTCAACTCGCCTATAGAAACCCACCTACTACAGACGCGCCTTCAGCTCGCCTATAGAGACGCGCCTTCAGCTCGCCTATAGAGACACTCCTTCAATTCGCCTATAGAAACCCACCTACTACAGACGCGCCTTCAGCTCGCCTATAGAGACGCGCCTTCAGCTCGCCTATAGAGACGCGCCTTCAGCTCGCCTATAGAGACGCGCCTTCAGCTCGCCTATAGAGACGCGCCTTCAGCTCGCCTATAGAGACACTCCTTCAACTCGCCTATAGAGACGCGCCTTCAGCTCGCCTATAGAGACGCGCCTTCAGCTCGCCTATAGAGACGCGCCTTCAGCTCGCCTATAGAGACTCGCCTTCAGCTCGCCTATAGAGACTCGCCTGCAGCTCGCCTATAGAGACTCGCCTTCAGCTCGCCTATAGAGACTCGCCTTCAGCTCGCCTATAGAGACGATCTCCTCTATAGAGAAAACCATCAGAGAAAACCATAAGCTCGTCCTTAGAAACGACGATAAGCTCGTCCATACCGACGACCTCGAAATTCTGCTTCTTTATACAGCTCTTCAATACAGACCGCCTACAATTATTTTATGAAGAAGGCCTTCAGCTCCTCATATGACGACGAATTTGGGGTTGTTTATAAAAAGACAATTATGGCCCATCCTGGTCATCTACGAAGATTCCTTCCCGGACCGTCTTTAGATCGTGTATGAAGACTGTCAATTGATCCTTTAGTAAAACTCGTCCCAGTCGTCTACAATATATAAAGGCCAGCAACTGTTCCCCCAGCTCGTCTGTATAAACTGCCTGATGCCTTAGGTTTTTGGTGTGTATTTTTAAAACTCATTCCTCTGAGCCTGTCCAAAAAGCTTTTTTATATAATCTACCATTTTGCCTTTGAATACTCAATTGGAGAGGGATCTGCATTATAATTCTTGAGTACAATTTTATAAATCTTTTATAATAATAAATAAAATTATTAATCAAAGCCTTAAAGCAGTATTAGAAATGGGGAAATTTAAAACAAATGAAAGATAGAATATAAATATTAATGAAACTGAATTGAAATAACGCACTCTAACTACACCTGCAAAAACTGTTGTTTAAATCCAGAATATAGGAAAATAATAATATGGTAATTATTAATTTATACAGCCTCAACAAAAAAATTAACCGAGAAAATTAAATAATAAAAAAAAAAATAAAAAAAAAATAAATAAAATGGCCCCCAATGGCGTATGATGTACGACGTTACTTATACGCCAAGGGCGGTTTAAATGAGCACTTGTTTTATGTGGCTGTATAAACAATAATTCCCATAATATTATATTATTTATTATTAAAAAAATCATTGCAAAATGATTAATTAACTTTTTAAATCCAACTAAAAAATTAATTTGAAAAAAAAATCCATAACTAAATATTTGAAATTGAATTAAATATTGAATAAACTTGAACGTTTTTTTGGAACTTCAGCATTTCATTGTTTAATTTTCTTTTTTTTTTCATTGCGCTATTGCTTTGGAACAAAAAAACATTTTGTGGCTTTTGAAAATAACAAATTGGAAAAAAACAAATCAAGAGAACTTTGTTAACAAACGTTTCGAACGAAATCACAAACTCATTACAAACTCCTTTTTTGAGGGGGTGATTAAATTGCTTTTGCTTTTGTTTTTTTTTTCTTTTTTTTGTTTCGGTTTTGGTTTTAGTTGTTGTTGAAACTTTCCGTTATAAAATATCAAAATATCCTTTCATCATTAAGAAAGTTGTGGGGCCCATACCTAAGATACCTCGATTTGTCGTCATCCTCACCACCGGTGGCAGCTGCTGGATTTTCAACGCCAGTAGCAGCGACACCTTCGGCACCCTCTTCACCACCTTTACGCAGACCGGGTATAGATGGTATCGAAGGCATAGCAGGCATTGATGGCATAGCCATTGTGGGCATTGAAGGCATGGCCGGCATAGATGGTATTGATGCACTGCCTAACCAACCCTTGGCACTGCCTAACCAACCGCTGTAAAGAGAAAGAGAAAGAAAAAAATGTATTAGTTAAAGTTAAAAAAGATAATTTTTTTATTAAAATATGAATTCAGCTATCCTGGGCGTATGATTAATGTCTCTACTCATACGTCCAGGGTGACAGATGGAAATAAAATATGAAAATATTGAAGATAATAAATAAGATAAAATAATCCGATATTTTAGGACACTCAGAACGTCAATAGAGACGACCACCGGATCGGCAATAGAGACGACCTTCGGATAGTCAATAAAAACGACCTTCGGATCGTCAATCGAGACGATCTTGAGATCGTCCATAGAGACGACCTCCGAATCGTCAATAGAGACGACCTTCGGATCATCAATTGAGACGACCTCCGGATTGTCGGGTCGTTAATAGAAACCGATATTAGCTCATCTATAGAGACAAATATCAGCTGGCCTATAGAAACTCCCTGACCTCCCAGCTCGTCTATGGATACTCCCTGGCCTCTCAGCTTGTCTAAAGAGACTTCCTGGCCTACCAGCTCGTCTATAGAGATTCCCTGCCCCCTCAGCTCGTCTATGGAGACTCCCTGCCCCCTCAGCTCGTCTATGGAGACTCCCTGCCCCCTCAGCTCGTCTATGGAGACTCCCTGGCCCCTCAGCTCGTCTATGGAGACTCCCTGGCCCCTCAGCTCGTCTATGGAGACTCCCTGCCCCCTCAGCTCATCTATGGAGACTCCCTGCCCCCTCAGCTCGTCTATGGAGACTCCCTGCCCCCTCAGCTCGTCTATGGAGACTCCCTGCCCCCTCAGCTCGTCTATGGAGACTCCCTGCCCCCTCAGCTCGTCTATGGAGACTCCCTGCCCCCTCAGCTCGTCTATGGAGACTCCCTGCCCCCTCAGCTCGTCTATAGAGACTCCCTGCCCCCTTAGCTCGTCTATAGAGACTCCCTGTCCCCTCAGCTCGACTATACGGACTCCCTGCCCCCGCAGCTCGTCTATAGAGACTCCCTGCCCCCTCAGCTCGTCTATAGAGACTCCCTGTCCCCTCAGCTCGTCTATAGAGGCTCCCTGGCCCCTCAGCTCGTCTATAGAGACTCTCTGGCCTCCCAGCTCGTCTATAGAGACTCCCTAGCCTCCCAGCTCGTCTATAGGGACTCCCTGGCCTCCCAGCTCGTCTATAGGGACTCCCTGGCCTCCCAGCTCGTCTATAGGGACTCCCTGGCCTCCCAGCTCCTCTATAGAGACTCCCTGGCCTCTCAGCTCGTCTATAGAGACTCCCTGGCCTCTCAGCTCGTCTATAGAGACTCCCTGCCCTCTCAGCTCGTCTATAGAGACTCCCTGCCCCCTCAGCTCGTCTATAGAGACTCCCTGCCCCCTCAGCTCGACTATACGGACTCCCTGCCCCCGCAGCTCGTCTATAGAGACTCCCTGCCCCCTCAGCTCGTCTATAGAGACTCCCTGTCCCCTCAGCTCGTCTATAGAGGCTCCCTGGCCCCTCAGCTCGTCTATAGAGACTCTCTGGCCTCCCAGCTCGTCTATAGAGACTCCCTAGCCTCCCAGCTCGTCTATAGGGACTCCCTGGCCTCCCAGCTCGTCTATAGGGACTCCCTGGCCTCCCAGCTCGTCTATAGGGACTCCCTGGCCTCTCAGCTCGTCTATAGAGACTCCCTGGCCTCTCAGCTCGTCTATAGAGACTCCCTGGCCTCTCAGCTCGACTATAGAGACTCCCTGCCCTCTCAGCTCGTCTATAGAGACTCCCTGCCCCCTCAGCTCGTCGATTGAGACTCCCTGCCCCCTCAGCTCGACTATACGGACTCCCTGCCCCCGCAGCTCGTCTATAGAGACTCCCTGCCCCCTCAGCTCGTCTATAGAGACTCCCTGTCCCCTCAGCTCGTCTATAGAGGCTCCCTGGCCCCTCAGCTCGTCTATAGAGACTCTCTGGCCTCCCAGCTCGTCTATAGAGACTCCCTAGCCTCCCAGCTCGTCTATAGGGACTCCCTGGCCTCCCAGCTCGTCTATAGAGACTCCCTGGCCTTCAGCTCGTCTATAGAGACTAGCTAGCCTTCAGCTCGTCTATAGAGACTAGCTGGCCTCCAGCTCATCTACAGAGACTAGCTGGCCTCCAGCACATCTACAGAGACTAGCTGGCCTCCAGCTCGTCTATAGAGACTAGCAGGCCTCCAGCTCGTGTATAGAGATTCCCTGACGTCCCAGCTCATCTATAGAGACTAGCTGCCCTCCCAGCTCGTTTATAGAGACACCCTGGCCTCCCCGTTTCTCTATAGAGACTCCCTGGCCTCCCTGCTCCTCTATAGAGACTTCCTGGCCTCCCAGCTCCTCTATAGAGACTCCCTGGCCTCCCAGCTCCTCTATAGAGACTCCCTGGCTTCCCAGCTCCTCTATAGAGACTCCCTGGCCTCCCAGCTCCACTATAGAGACTCCCTGTCCTCCCAGCTCCACTATAGAGACTCACTGGCCTCCCAGCTCCTCTATAGAGACTCACTGGCCTCCCCGCTCCTCTATAGAGACTCCCTGGCCTCCAGCTCGTCTATAGATACTCCCTGGCCTCCCAGTTCGTCTATAGAGACTCCCTGGCTTTCAGCTTGCCTATATAGACTTCCTGGATCCCAGCTCGTCCATACAGACTCCCTGGCCTCCCACCTGGTCTATAGAGACCACTTCTCAAGTTGGTCTATAGAGACCACCTCTCAAGTTGGTCTATAGAGACCACCTCTCCGGCTGGTCTATAAAGATCACCTCTCCGGCTGGTCTATAAGGACCATCACTCCAGCTGGTCTGTAAAAACCATCTCTCCAGCTGGTCTATAAAGACCACTTCCAGTTGGTATATAGAGACCACTTCCACGTGGACTTTTATAAAGGCTCCCTTCGCTTCTCTATAAATTCTCCCTTTTACTTCTCTATAAATACAGTTTGTTGCTACCTTTATTCTATAAAATGACCCTCCCCCTCCTCCTCACCTAAAGTCCCTCCCTTGCTCCTCAAAAATATATCTAATTTTCACATTCGTTTATTTTCATTTCACATTGTTCGCATTGCTTATCATTGGCTTAAAGGACATCATCTAAAGCCCATAATCCTTTTTCCTTTTACAAAACCCTTCTGCTTCTGCTTTTTCTCCTTTTCCTCTTCTGCCACTGCATCGTGAATGTTTGCCTCCCTCAACAGCTGGGCTACAGTTGTGTAGCTTTTGCGGCGAATAATCCCTTTTAATAAAAGAAATGTCATTTGATTTGAACGTTTGCACATTTCCTCTTCTAATCAAGAGTGAAAGCAAGCGGAAAAGGAAATTCGAATAACAAGTGTTTCATTTTGGGTTTGGTGGGTGTGTGTGTGTGTATGTGCGTAGTTTGTATGTCTGTGTGTGTGTGGCAGGAATTGGTGATGGTTGGCAGGAAAAGTAGAGAATGGAATTAGGAACTGTTATATTCCATGTCCATGTGACAGTAAAGTATTCATTCATTCATTCATTCCAGATATAGAATGAAGAAGAATACAATATGAGATGGATAAAATGATAAATTTTGAAAAAAGTAATATTAAAGGAGTGTGTGAGAGAGAGAGATACACAGAGTGTGAAGAAGAGAGCATTTAAGGGCACATTTATTATTACACTATTGAAAAAACATTTAATTCCAAACAACTTATTGATTCGTCTTGAAAGTTTTATTCAATTAACCCCCCATGGGGATTTCCATTTCCACCTCCCACGATGTCTTCATATTGTGGCCTCAGTATGGGGGTTGGACTAGAAAATTACCAGCCTTAATTAAAACTTTACATTTGACATTTCCTACTTCTCCCGACTTCTTGGGGTTCTCTTTTAGACTTCAAGATACAAATCACATCCATCCAAATAAGTAAAACCACCCTTGAACTCTCCTCTCCACTCCGCCAAAAACAAATGTTATTTTCGCATGTAAATCTTGAATCTCCAGCCAAAAGCACACCATAATTTCATTAAACTCAGCCACTTGAATAATTAGCAAATGACAGGAAATGAGGGTAGATGAATTAGGAGGTTACAATGATTAAATGTCACAAATGACGGGGTATGGCTTAATGTGATGGAGGTGATGGAGGTAAAGGCTGCGTGAGAGAAGGTTGGATACATTAAATGGCAAATGGGATTGCATTTCTTGAATGTGGCATTAAAAAAAATAATTTGAAGATTAGAAAATGATAAGAAGTCCTTGAAAAAGGTTATTTTTAACCAAATCCCAGTTAGTATCCTTGATGATCCTTGAAAAATAATAATTACTAAAAATTCGAATGCTGATATCCTTGAAAATATAATCTTTAAAATAATAACTGGAAATATATCCAAATATAAAATCTATGTCAATATCCTTAAAAATCCTTGAAAAATATCCTCCAAAAAATTCAGTTTAATATCCTCTAAAAAATTCACGTTTATATAATCGATACATCTTGAAAACTTCTCTCTTAAAATGCAGGTTTATATTCTTAATAATCCTTGAAAAAAATCCTTAAAAGTATAGAAAAAAATTCGTCGGGCCTCTGCTCCAAGTTTTTTTCTATAGAAAAAAATTCGTCGAGCCTCTGGTCCAAGTTTTTTTTCTATAGAAAAAAATTCGCCGAGCCTCTGGTCCAAGTTTTTTCTATAGAAAAAAATTCGTCGAGAATCTGCTCCAAGTTTTTTCTATAGAAAAACATTTGTCGTAACCGAATTCAATATTTTTTTCCAGAACAAAATTCGTCGGACCTCAGTTTTGATTTCATTTCCTTTGATTTTGATTCGACGGGCTCCTGAGTTTCGATAGAAAAAATGTTACAGTGCAACTGTATCATTGTTACAAAATTGTCTTCTTTTGAGAGAAAACTTCTCACATTTTTCCTGGCCTTTATTTATCCCTGCTTCTCAGGCCCATAAATTATTTCCATGTAAACCTGCTTTAATCCCCTTTAAATATTCTTTTCTCGTTCTATTTGCCTTTGATAAAAATCTCCAATTTGAAAAGTAATTACAAAATATTTACAAATGA